GATGAGGAGGGAGGAGGAGGAGCGAGGATGGAGGAGGAGGGGGAGGAGGAAGATGACTGAGGAGAGAGAGAGTAGATGGGGAGGGGAGAGGGGGGAGAACGGCGAGGAGACAGAGGCCTAGGAGGCGGCGGAGGCGGTGAAGGCGGAGAAGGAGAAGGAGAAGGAGGCGAATGAATAGAAAGAGAAGGCTGAAAAGGATACGGAAGAGGCTGATGGAGGTGGGTGGATTGTGTTGCCCCATATCCTACGTATGGGTCTATTGTTGACCAGTCGCTTCGCTCATTCCGCCGGCCCATATTGATTTGCTCTTGCCTGCGAGCTCGCTGGGGCTGACAAGGTGGTGAGTCGCGTGAACCTCGCTTGGGCGAGAAACAGTAACGGAGCACGCCCAACCGAAGTTCCGCCAGCGAATCTCTCGAATGTGAGACAGCAAGAACTTTCAGGGATGGAAGCCTCGAACTGAATAAGGCAATGGTTACAATGGTAGAAGTGCTGGAACGCCGTCTGGGTGGTTCTTAGCCTGACTGGGAGACGTTTTGGGCAACATTGCTTTTACCTGGGCGCGTGTGGATTCTTCCTGAGGCTTTCTTGTATAGCCTTGGGGCTGGCTGTATTCTGCATTTTCAATGTCCGGATGCCAGCTTCGTTCCCCAGGATCGTCGGAAAACCACCCTGGACGACACACCCAAGGGCCCGTTGGCCGTTGCGGCCCCGCTGGGAGCGGGGGTACAGGGATGCTCCCCCTTGTTGGCCGTGATGGCCTCTGCCCAAGTATCAACGTCATCAGTAGCATCATCGTGAACATCATCATCACAATCAGCATCATTACCAGCCTCACCGCCACCCTCATCATCATCATCATCATCATCATCATCATCATCATCATCATCATCATCATCATCATCATCATTGTCATCATCATTATCAGAGTCATCATCATGATCGTCATCACCAGCAGTACCGTAATCCTGATCACCATCGCAAACGTCATCATCATCATCGTCATCCTAAGCAGCAGCATCAGCATCAGCATCACCATCATCGTCATCAGCATCATCATCGGCATCAACATCATCATCAGCATCCGCATCATCAGAATCGGCATCATCATCATCAGCAGCAGCACCATCATCATCATCCTCCTCATGATCATCATGCATATGACCATCGTCAGCATTATCAGCATCATCATCACCATCATCATAATCAGCAGCACCACCACCACCATCGTCATCATCATCATCATCCTCATTATCAGCATCATCATCACCATCATCATCATCATCATCATCATCATCAGTATCATTATCATCAGCAGCATGATCATCATTTTTATCACCACCACCATCGCGGCTGAAATGTGCTACAGATGTTCGGGGTGCGCGCTACCGAACTCCGCTACAGCTTTTTCCTGCGTGCTACCGAAATTCGCTACCGATGTTTAGGTTCGCGCTACTGTTTTTTTCGTCGCGGTCGCTACCCAATTCTGTTTCGCGTGACCGAAGAAATAGCCATGCCCCGACATCGAACACGTGAAATCTCGAAATTCGGTCGCGGTCGAATTCTGGTCGCGACCGAAAATCAACGCGACCGAAATCCGCTACCGAAACTTTCTGATTGCGGTTTTTCTGGGTGGGGCTGGGGCTGGGGCCGCAGGCTGGTGCCCGGGCCGGGCCCAGGGCCACCCTGATCATTGGATACTAGAATTTTCCAGTCGCGACCGACGAGATCGGTCGTTACCGATTTTGCTTCAAGTTTCGGTCTCGGTCGCGACCGACTCGCTTCAACATCGGTCACGACCTGATCGGTCGCGACCGACCAGCCGCGATCGATGGCGACCGGCCGCGACCGATTTTGGGATCAAGCGCGATCGGTCGTGACCGAGGTGGAGTGCCGATCGGTCGCTACCGATCGCGACCGAACAAATTCTGTATCCACTGATCTTGGCAGGGCCTTGGCTGGGATTGGGGGCGGGGCCAGAGTCGGGGCCGAGGCGGGTGGAGGGGCCCTGAGCACTCTTGCCGACGACAGAGAGACCACTCTCCTATCCTCCTTCTCCACAGGGGGGACCGCTCGGGGTGGGGGTCGCGACCCTTGGGGCCCCCCCGGGACACCCCCCCAGGGGCCAGATTCCCCCTGGGAACCCTCTCCTGGTGGGGAAGGGACAAAGGGAAGGGGCTTCCCCTCGATGCAATCGATCCCCCGCGTTCGACTTCTTCCACGACGGCGACGATCCAAAGGAAGCTGGGCTACTTCAGTTTGGGTTGTGCCGGCCTCGCGTCGAAGGGCCCCTCACACACGCCGACTGGATCGGCGGATTTGCATCGCATCGCATTGCTTTGCATTGCCTTGCACTGGTTTGCATTGCTCATTACTGCGCATAGTTTTGCATTCATTTGTATTGCTTTGCATTGCTGTGCATTGTTTCGTTGATTTGCATTGCTTTGCATTGCTTCGCATTGCTTCGCATTGCTTTACCCTGCTGTACATTACTGTGCATCGCAGTGCATTGTTTGCACTGCTTTGCATTGCTTCACGTTGCTTTGCATTGCTTCGCGTTACATTGCGTTGCGTTGATGTGCATAGCAACGCATTGTTATTTCTTGTTTTGCATCGCATCTCGTTGCTTTGAATTCCTTTGCACTATTTTGCATCGTTGTTCTTAGCTGTTCATGGCTTTGCATCGCGTTGCTTGCGTTGCCCTGCGTGGCTCTACATCCCATTCAGCTTCTCTGCATCGCTGTGCACTGCACCTGCATTGCTCTGAACTGTTTTGCACCGCACGGGCTGCACCACACGGCTTGCTCCACCTCGCTTGCACTACAGTCGGGGCGCCGAAGAAGGAACTCTTTCCGTTGGGTAGGGGCTCCTTGTTCCTTGATTGGCCCCACGTGCTCCTGAGGTTTCCGGAAGGGAAATCGAAGTTCCACTTCTGGAGAAAAGGGGCCTCGTGCCTTATTTAGGGTTCCTCAGGTCAGCGCCCCGACTGTACACACTGCCTGCACCACCCCGTTCGCAGTGCACCTGCTGCAAGAGTGTCAGCTCGTGTTCTAGGAACACTGCTTCTGTTCTTAGAGCATGTTCGGGTGCGAAGAACACGTCGTGGTAGGCCCAGAAGTGCGGGGACGGTCGGTCCCTGCGCAGCTTGCCAGCACGGTGCCCTCTGCGCAGCGTGCACTGCACACCGCCTGCACCACCCCGCTCGCAGCGCACCTGCTGCAGGAGTGTCAGCGCCTGGGGCCCACGCTGGCTGGGTCCCACGCTGGCCAGCATGCGTTCGCTGCTGCCCTGCCACCGTCGAGCAGTGGCGGCGAGGCGTCCTGGCTCGCCTTACAGTCCCACCAAGGAAGGTTCTGAGAACCTTGTGTGGGCTGCACGACGTGTTCTTAGAACAGGTCTGGCGGGGGCTGTCCTTCTTTAACCTCTCGGGCTCAGGTTCTAAGAACATGGTTCTTGTTCTGAGAACATTTCTGGCGGGGACGGTCTCTCTTCATCTATCGGGCGCATGTTCTAGGAGCACTGCTCTTGCTCTGAGAACATGTTTAGGGTGCGAGGAACACGTCGTGGTAGGCCCAGCAGTGCCGGCACGGTCGGCCCCTGCGCAGCTTGTCAGCACAGTGCCCCCCGCGTCGGACCGTACCGCGCACAGCACCACCGTCCGAAGCCCGCCCGGCCCGGGCTCGCACCCGGCACTCTTCTTCGCGCCTCCCCGCCGCGGCCCGCACCACGACGGGGCGCACGGGGCGCCGTGCCCTCTCCCGCTCCCCGCCCTCTCCTCCCCCTCCCGGCGGAGGCGGAGTCCAACCACCCACGCCATCGTTGTCGTTGCACTGTCGTGCTGGGCTCCCCCGATTCGATCATACATTGATGACATTACGCAGTACATGCAAGGTACGCGCAAATATATTGTCTCTGCTCTGCCTGCTGCAGCCGCTCAGTTCTGCCGAGATGTGGGTACACTTGGCTGTTTAATCTCGCCTAAGTCTGCTGCAGTTGCATCGTCCACTGCTCTGGCCAAGGAGTTGTCTGCTAAGTTTGATGAATTGGGTGTCTCTATCTCATTCAAAGGGCAGGTGAAGGATCTGGGGGTCATGACCACAGCGGGGAGGAGGAGATGTGCATGGAAGATCAAGCTGCGCCAGCGGACTGCTTTCAAGCGCTCTCGTAAGCTGGCCTATCTTGCTCGCCTGTGCGGTCGATCCCGCAAGATCTTTAAGCCTGGTGTGCTCAGCGTCGGATCGTGGGGTCATTCAGTGTTAGGTTTGACCGTGGCCGATCTGCAGAGTTTCCGATCGCAGGCCGCTAAGTGTTCAGGATACTGGAGTCAAGGTGCATGTACCTCGACCGTCCTCAGCCTGATGAACCCCCTGAGCCAGGATCCTGAATATCGGCTGCGTACTGAACAGTTATCCGCTATCGCTGGTGTATGGCATGCCTTGTCCCCTGGACAACGGCAAGGGGTGCGCAAGGCGTGGGAGCACCATCGGGCACGGCTCGTCGCTCTTCCGCCTCAGCGCCGCTGGCGCTCGGTGTCTGGCCCCATCGCGGCCACGATCTGCACCCTGCTCGATTTGGATTGGTCGCCCACTTCACCCACTCAGTGGGGCACGCCTAGCGGAGTGCTCTGCTTGGAGGCGCGCGACTTCATGTTTCATCTCCGTGCCGCTGTGCGGCAGACTGTTTCTCGGGGACATGCTAGCAAAGCGGCTCAGCATTTCTGTGGAGAAGGGTTGGATGGAGGTGTTGATTTCACGGTTTTCCGAAAAATGCACGCTCAGATGATCAAGAATGGACAGCACGCTGATGCCGCATTGCTCGTGTGTATGGTTACGGCAGGTACCTGGCCCGAAGCTCGGCTTCAAGATGCGGGGTATCTAACAGACGGCATCTGTCCTAGGTGTGGGGCCGCTCGTGAAACCAGCCTCCACCGCTGCTGGGAATGCTCTGCCAATGCATCGATCGTCAGCATCGCGATGCATCGCTCTCTTGGCCTTGTCGATATGGCGAACCAGCCCGAGCATGTCAGGAGTGCGTTCTGGACGCGTGGGCTCCCGCCCTTGGAGGCCGCTGTCGCGCCCATTCCGCCGCCCGTGGAGATTGTGAAGTCTTGGGGCCTCTTCGTGGGGGACCAGGAGGTGCGTGGAGGTCGATATGGTTTGGACGGCTCTGGGGGGACTTTCGCTTCGGATTGGAGGCTCAGGCGCTGTGGATGGTCTGCGGTTCGTTTCGAGGAGGACAGTCTCCAGAGCGTGGACCTGGCCTGTGACGTTATCCTCATGGGTACCCTCCCCACTGTGGCTCAGTCGAGCCCCAGGGTTGAAATGTATGCTATGATTATGCTGCTTAGACATACTGTGGGAGATATTGTGGCCTACTCTGATTATCTTCCTTTGGTGCGTGGTCTCCGTAGGGACAGGTCTTATATCTCTGCTACGTCGCCGATGCTCGACCTCTGGGACCAGCTCTGGACGCTCCTGGATGCTCGTGAAGGCTCTGTGGAGGTGTTGTGGACCAAGGCCCATTCGACGGCGGGGACTCGTGAGGTTTGGGGCATCTCTAGGGTTGAGTTCTTCCTAAATTTTGTAGCTGACTTTTTTGCTGGGGAGGCTGCCGCCTTAGGAGAGGTCCCACAAGACCATGTGAACGTCCTTAACGAAGTAGACGACATGACGGGAAAGGTCTTGTCGCGTCTGCTGGATGTTAATCGTGAAGTTAATTTAACGTGCCGCCGCCTCGTGTCAGATAGAGTCGGGCGTCCTCCTCCTCCTCGGCCGAGGGCCTCCTCCTCTCTCGCCATTCGGAGAAGTCGACTCGAGGCGGCGGGGCACAATGTCAAGCTCGTGAATTCAAGATATAAATGCATTGTCTGTGGCCGCAATTTTGAGGCCTTGAGGGGAAAGGTTTCCGAGTTTTTCCCTGGTCGGTGCGTGGGGGCGCGACAGATAACGTGCGGGTCTGACCGTGAGGCCGTGATCGCGCACCCTGGGGCTCCCCGAGCGCACTCGTCCCATGACCTCGCTGTGCTGCGCGGTGTCCTGTATTGCCGAGTTTGCGGGAGATTTATGACGCAGAACTCCCAGCTCCTCGGAGAGGAGTGCCCACCAAGTCGCACTCCGACGAAAGCAGGCGCCAGTGTACTGTCGCGCCTCAGGCGAGGCCTTCCGCCTAAGAGCGGGATGAATTTCCCAGATCCCTGACGTGTACAGTGGGATCACTGACGGGCTGCGAGAGATGTGTGTGGTGTGAAGCATGCGCCCTGGCCAGGCCAGGTCCCCGCCGAGCGCCCAGCCAGCAGTCCTCCTCCTCCTCCTCCTCCTCCTCCTCCTCCTCCTCCTCCTCCTCCTCCTCCTCCTCCTCCTCCTCTAGCACAAGCCGACATCTGACATGGCAGGCGGCACCCGTGCCCCCTCGCCGGCATATCGCTGCGGAATACGAGCCGCCGCTCTCGCCGCAGTGCGGTGTTGGGGCGCCGGCAACAGCTGGATTACCGCGGATTCGGGCTGCGTGCGCCCCTCCGGGTGGAGGCCTCCTCCATGGCCGAGAACGTGGACCGGCTCTTCGACTCGGTGAAGGCCCTGGAGGAGAAGATCGTCCAGGCGAAGGAGGAGAAGGACGGAGCAGCCTGCGCCTGGCCCGACCCCGTCAGGAGGAACGAGGAGGACGATGGGATTGATGATCATGTCGATGATGATGATGATGAGGATGATGGTGATGATGATGGTGATGATGATGATGCTGGTGATGATGATGATGCTGATGATGATGATGATGATGATGAGGATGATGCTGATGATGATGATGATGATGCTGATAATGATGATGATGATGATGATGATGATGATGATGATGATACTGATGATGCTGATGATGGTGGTGAAGAGAAGGATGGAGAGGAGTACGAGGAGGAGGATGGGGAGGAGGGTGAGGATGAGGATGATCAAGAGGAGGGGAGGGGGAAGATGAAGAGGAGGAGGAGGAGGAGGAGAGGATACTTAGTGAAGGAGGAGGAGGAGGAGGAGGAGGAGGAGGAGTGGGAGGTTCTTAAAGAATCTAACGGGCTTCAGCGAAGGAGGGGATTATAGGAGG